AGGTAGGGGCGCGGGCGGCCGCGGGGCTGCTCTCCGCGCCGCGCTGCTCCCGTGACGTCGCCTTCCTTCCCTTCCTTCCCTCCGCGCACGGCGCCGGCTCCTCCTCCCCGGGGCCGCCGCCGCTCCGGGAAATCCGCACCGAGCGGCCCGGGAGGCCTGCGCGGGGACGGGACGGCGGGCCCGGGCCCGGCCGCGGCCCGTGGCCAGGTGAGGCCGGAGCCCACAGCGCTCGCGACGGCGCCCGGCCGGTTTTGCCCGTCCTGGCAGCTCCCGGTGCTGCCGGGAGTTTGTCCCGCGGCGCAGGCGGCTCCGCGTTTCCCTCCCAGCTCCCACGGGCGCGCGGGGGCTCCCGCAGCTGCGGCATGGGCGGCCCCGCGTTGCTCCATCGGGATCGGCGCTTCCTGCTCTTCCTCCCGCTCCCTGCTCCGATCCGCGGCTCGTGGCCGGGCAGGACGGCGGCTCCCGGTGCAGGGGGGGCACCGAGGCCCCGCGCAGCGTCACAGCCCCCCCGGTGACTCCGCAGGTGACAGCCGCCTCCCGCCATGTCCCTGTGGAGCATCGTGTCGCAGCTGCCGCCCGAGGAGTTCGGCAGCCTCTTTGCCGAGTTCCCCCGCAGCCTCCGCTGCCTCCTGGCCGACTGGCTGGAGAACCAGCCCTGGTGAGTGCGCGAGCGCCGCCGGCCCCGCCACCCCGTGCCCGTCGTCACCTGCCCCCTGGCACCCGCAGCTCCCCATGACACCGGGCACTGATGAGAGCGTCCTCCAGCAGGGCACTAGTGCCCAGGTCAAACCCCATGGGATGGTGGCACTGCCGCTCCCTGGGCTTGGGGACACTCGGTGCCAGATCCCCAGCTCAGACCCGCTTCTCCCCAGGGAATTCCTGCCTGGCTCCCCATTGCGCCAGGCACTAATGCCCAGGCCAGGCCCTGTGGGACAATGGCACTGCCACTCCACGCTCTATGGGGACACTCGTGTCCAGTGTGGTGACAGGTCCCCGCTTCCCTGCAGGGAATTCCTGCTTGGCTCCCATTGCACCGGGCATTAATTCCTGCATCAAGCCCTGTGGGATGGTGGCACTGCCACTCCCTGGGCTTGGGGACACTCGTGCCCAGCCTGGTGCCGGGTCCCTGGCTCAGCCCTACTTCCCTGCAGGGAATTCCTCCATGGCTCCCATTGCACCAGGCATTAATGCCCAGGCACTGGGCACTAATGAGAGCATCCCCCAGCAAGGCACTAATGCCCAGGTCAAACCCCATGGGATGGTGGCGCTGCCACTCCCTGGGCTTGGGGACACTCGTGCCCCCAGACGGGTCCCCAGCTCAGCCCTTCTTCCCCTTGGCAAGTTCCTGCCTTGCACCGGGCACTAATGCCCAGTTCAAGCCCTGTGGGGTGGTGGCACTGCCACTCCCCAGGCTTTGGGGACACTTGTGCCCAGCCTGGTGCCGAGTGCCCAGCTCAGTCCCTCTTCCCTGCAGGGAATTCCTGCCCGGCTCCCCATTGCACTGGGCACTAATGCCCCGTCCAAGGCCATATCCCGTTGGACGGTGGTACTGCCGCTCCCTGGGCTTGGGAACACTCATGCCCAGCATGGTGACAGGTCCCCAGCTCAGCCCCACATCCCTCCAGGGAGTTCCTGCCTGGCTCCCCATTGCACCAGGCGTTAATGCCCAGGTCAAGCCTCGTGGGATGGTGGCACTGCTGCTCCCTGGGCTTGGGGACACTCGTGGCCAGCGTGGTGACAGGTCCCCTCTTCCCCGCAGGGAGTTCCTACATGGCTCGGACGCCTTCTGCACCAGCGTGGCCAGCGGGATGCTCTCGGCCATGCTGGAGAAGCTGCGGAGCGCGGCGGGCAGCGATGGGCAGCAGTGCCACCTCCTGCAGCAAGTCAGCAGCCTTGAGGTGCGCGCCCGCGGTGCCACGCCGGCGGCGAGCGGCCCACGCAGGGAACGAGACCCTCGCTCCAGCCCCGCTCCACGGGGCAGCAGTGCCCGCCGGGCACGAGGTTGCAAGGCGTCGGCGCCCGCCCGGGGCGCCCGCGGCGGGAGGAGGGCGCGTTGCGGCCCCGGCGGCCGCTTCGCCCCCCGTTCCGCATTTTCTGCCGCTGTTTGATTTCTGCTTCCTCGGCTGCTGCGTTTCCTCCCGGCGCCGCGCTGCTGCGCCCGGCCCTGCTCTGCTCGCCGAGGGCTCTGCGCGGCGCCCGGGCTCTTCTCCTCCTCCTGTCACTGCAGATTTAATCCCTCGCCTCTCTCTGCTGCCTCTGAAGCGCTTCATGTTGGGGCTCCCGGGGACCCGTTCTGCTCCTGGGTAACCTCAATGAGCGGCGGGATCAGCGGCGATCCCGGCTCCGGGAACGGGCTGTCCTGGCACGGAGCCGCTTTCCTCCTTGGGGACCTTTGAGAAGCTTCCCAGATGTTCGCTCCGTAACTGCGGGAGGGGCTGGTCCAGCGCGGGGCGGGAAGAGCCGGGAAGGGGCTGGGAAGCGGCCGGGCGGCTCCGGAGCCGCCCCGGGAAGCGGCCAGGCCGGGAGGCAGCGGGCTGTGCCCGGCTCCCTGCTGCCCTTTCGGGAAGCGGCTAAGCTGGGAAATGCAGCGGCCGGCTGGGAGCTGGCTGGGAAATTCCTGCCGCTGCCGTGCGTGCTGCGGGCAGCCGCAACAGCCGCTCCGGGTATAAAAGCGGGAATGTTACCGGGAGCCACCAGCAGAAATGTGGATTTTCCTTTAGTCTTTTTTTTTTTTTTTTTCCCCCAATTTTAACCGATTTCTATGGCGGGTTTGGAGGGGGCGGTGGAGCTGCAGCGGGGGCCGTGGGGCGGCCCGCGCCCCCCAACGCCGCTGCCCCCCGCGCAGAGCACGTTCCGGCGGGACCCGCTGCGCCTCGTGGCCGTGCTGCGGGCCATCCTGGAGGGCGAGAAGGCCGCCGTGCTCAAGAGGGTGCGTGGAGGTGCCGGGGGGACGGGCAGGGGACGGGGCTGGTGTTGGGACCCCCCTCACCCTGCTGTGTCCGCCCGCCCCAGGACCGGCACCTGCCCCTCAGCTTCCACCGGCGCCAGGAGGAGCTGAAGTTCGGCCTGGGGCTGCAGCGGCTGCAGCATCGGATCCGGGAGATCCAGGCGCTGCAGGAGCGCGGCCCGCAGCAGCGGGATGGCGCCGGGGGTGAGCAGCGCGCTGCGGAGCCCGGGCATCCCCGTGGGCAGGGCTGGAATATGCGGTGCAGATCCCTGGGCATTCCCATGGACAGGGCTGGAATATGCGGTGCAGATCCCTGGGCATTCCCATGGACAGGGCTGGAATATGCGGTGCAGATCCCTGGGCATTCCCNATGGACAGGGCTGGAATATGCGGTGCAGATCCCTGGGCATTCCCATGGACAGGGCTGGAATATGCGGTGCAGATCCCTGGGCATTCCCATGGACAAGGCCTGAATATATGGTGCAGATCCCCAGCATCCCCGTGGGCATAGCTGGAATATGCGGTGCAGATTCCTGGCATCCCCGTTGCAAGGCTGGCACACGCGGTCCAGATCCTGGGCATTCCCACAGACAGGGCTGGAATATGCAGAGCAGATCCCGGGCATCCTCATGGACAGGGCTGGAATATGCAGAGCAGATCCCGGGCATCCCCGTGGGCATGCCTGGCACACACGGAGCAGATCCCGGGCATCCCCGTGGCAGTGTCCCCTCGGATGCCGTGCGTGGACGCGCAGGTGCCCGCAGCCGGGTAGCGCCGGTGCCAACGCTGCCCCTTCCTCCCACGCAGCCGCGCTGCCGCTGGCCCTGCGCGACCCGCAGCTGAAGACGGAGGGGAAGCTCCCGGAGGGCGTGAGTGAGGGATGGGGAGCGGGACATGGGCTGCAGGGTCGGGGGGCACGTGGGGCTGGGGGGGCTGCAGGGCCATGGCCGGGGGGGCGGCTGAGCCCCCCGCAGCGCCCGGCAGCGCCCGCGGCCCCCCAGGAGCTGCCGGCCCTGCTGCTGGAGGCCGTCAAGGAGCTGGAGGCCGCCAAGCAGCAGGTGCTGAAGAGGATCCAGATCTGGAAGCGGCAGCAGCAGCTGGCGGGGAACGGCGCGGCCTTCGAGGAGAACCTGGCGCCGCTGCAGAAGAGGTGGGCGCCGGGGGACGGGCACAGGGATGGGGACAGGGGACGGCGCCCGGACTTAGCGCCGCTGCCCGCAGGTGCGAGGCCCTGGCCGAGGTGCATTTGCAGCTGCAGCAGCAGGTGCTGGCGGCCGGCGCTGACCTGGGCGCCGAGCTGCTGCCGCGGCTCCTGGAGCGCCTGGCCGAGGTGCTGGGCAGCCTGGTGAAAAGGTGGGTGCCGGCGAGCCGGCGGCGGGGGGCCCGGTGCAGGCACCCACCCGCCGCCCCATCACCCACTGCCCCGCAGCTCCTTCCTGGTGGAGAAGCAGCCGCCGCAGGTGCTGAAGACGCAGACCAAGTTCCAGGCGAGCGTGCGCTTCCTGCTGGGCCCGCGGCTGCTGCAGGCGCCCGCCAAGCCCTACGCCGTGCGCGCCGACATGGTCACGGAGAAGCAGGCGCGCGAGCTGGCGCTCAGCGGCGCCGCCGGCACCCCGGGGTGAGCGACGGGGCAGCCGGGGGGGCGGCGGGGGCGCCCTGAGCCCCCGGGGCCACCCTGAGCCCTCCGCGCAGCGAGAGCACCGGCGAGATCGTGCACAACGTGGTGGCCCTGGAGACCAACCCGGCGAGCGGGACCTGCTGCGCCAACTTCAAGAACGTGGTGCGCGCGGGCGGGGATGGGCCCGGGGGGGCACGGGGGCCGCGCTGGGCTCTGGGGGGGCCCGCGGTGACGCCGCCGCGTCCCCCCGCCAGCTGCTGAAGAAGATCAAGCGCTGCGAGCGCAAGGGCTCCGAGTCGGTGACGGAGGAGAAGTGCGCCGTGCTCTTCAGCACCGCCGTGGTGCTGGCCCCCGGCAACCTCACCGTGCAGCTGCAGGTAGGGGGGGTCCGCGGGGACACGGGGGGACCGTGGCACTGCCAGGGCCCGCGGGGACACAGGGGCGACTGCAACGCTGCCAGGGGCTGCGGTGACATGGCGGGGACCGCAACGCTGCCAGGCTCCGCGGTGACACAGGGGGACCGTGACATTACCAGGGACCACGGTGACGTGGAGGGGACCGTGACACTGCCAGGGGCTGTGGTGACATGGGGGCGACCGTGACATCGCTGCACTCCACGGTGACAGTCTGGGGACCATGACACTGCCAGGGGCCACCCATGGTGACGCAGGGGGGACCACGATTCTGCCAGGGCCCGCAGTGACACGGGGGGACCGCGACATTACCGGGGACCACAGTGATGTGGGGGGGACCGTGACACTGACAGGGACCAGGGTGATACAGGAGGGACCGTGACACTGCCAGGGCCCGCGGTGACGGCCCCGCGCGCTGCCCCAGGTGCTGTCGCTGCCCATCGTGGTCATCGTGCACGGGAACCAGGACAACAACGCCAAGGCCACCGTGCTGTGGGACAACGCCTTCTCCGAGATCGTGAGTGCCACCAGCTGGCCGGGGGGCCCTGGGGCCACCATGGAGCGCGGTGACGCAGGGTGTCCCCCCCGCCAGGACCGGGTGCCCTTCGTGGTGGCCGAGCGGGTGCCCTGGGAGAAGATGTGCGACACGCTGAACCTCAAGTTCATGGCGGAGGTGCAGACCACCAAGGGGCTCCTCAAGGAGCACTACTTCTTCCTGGCGCAGAAGATCTTCAACGACCACAGCGCCGGCCCCGAGGACTTCCAGAACCGCAGCGTCTCCTGGGCCCAGTTCAACAAGGTTTGGGGGGGCCCGGGGGACCCCGCGCAGCCCTGCACCTTCACGTCGCTGCCGGCCTCCTCTTCCTCCCTGCAGGAGATCCTGCCCGGCCGCGGCTTCACCTTCTGGCAGTGGTTCGACGGCGTCCTCGACCTCACCAAGAGGTGCCTCAAAAGCTACTGGTCGGACAGGTGGGTGCCGGGGGGCCGGGCGGGCGCCCCGGGTGCCAGTGCCCTCCTCGCCACGTGCCCGTCGCCGTCGCAGGCTCATCGTGGGCTTCATCAGCAAGCAGTACGTGTGCAAGGTGCTGAGCGCCGAGCCGCACGGCACCTTCCTGCTGCGCTTCAGCGACTCCGAGATCGGCGGCGTCACCATCGCCCACGTCATCCGCGGCCAGGACGGTGAGCGCCGCGCCGCCTCGTGCCACCCTGTGCCACCCTGTGCCGCTCTGTGACACCTTGTGCCGCCTCGTGCCACCCTGTGCAACTCTGTGTCACCTTGTGCCACCCTGTGCTGCCTGTGCCATCCTGTGCCACCCCGTGCCACCCTGTGCTCCCCCGTGCCATCCCGTGCAACCCCGTGCCACGTGCACCTCATGCCACTGTACCACCCCATGTCGCCCTGTGCCAGCCTGTGCCCCCCTGTGCCACCCCATACCCTGTGCCACCTCAGCCACCCCGTGTCACCCTGTGCTACTCTGTGCCACCTTGTACCACCCTGTACCACCCCGTGACGCCCTGTGCCACCCTGAGCCATCCTATGCAACCCTATGCCACCTGCACCTCATGCCACCCTGTGCCACCCCATGTCACCCTGTGCCACCCCGTGCCACCCTGTGCCACCCCGCAGGCTCCAGCCAGGTGGAGAACATCCAGCCCTTCTCGGCCAAGGACCTGTCCATCCGCTCGCTGGGCGACCGCATCCGCGACCTGGCGCAGCTGCGCAACCTGTACCCGGGCACCCCCAAGGACCAGGCGTTCGGCAGCCACTACAACAGTGAGCGGGGACGGGGGGCGCGGGGGGACCTTGCCCAGGCTTTGGCATTGGCGCATTGTGCTGCGTGGCGGTGCATTGCACTGCATCGTGGTGCATTGTGCTGCATCGCGCTGCATCATCGTGGTGCATTGCGGCGCATCGCGGTGCATTGTGCTGCATCGTGGTGCATCATTGTGGTGCATTGCACTGCATTGTGGTGCATTGTGCTGCATCATCGTGGTGCATTGTGCTGCATTGTGCTGCATCGTGGTGCATCATTGTGGTGCATTGCGCTGCATCGTGGTGCATCGTGGTGCATCATTGTGGTGCATTGCACTGCATCGTGGTGCATTGTGCTGCATCGCGGTGCATCATTGTGGTGCATTGCGCTGCATCACAGGACATCATGCTGCATTGCACTGCATTGCACTGCATAGCGGTGCATCATGCTACATCGTGGTGCATCATGGTGTATTGTGCTGCATTGCGCTACATTGCGCTGCATCGTGCTGCATTGTAGCACATCATGCTGCATTGCACTGCACTGCAGTACTGCAGTACATTGCGCTGCGATGTGGCACATCATGGTGCATCACGGTGCCTCACGGTGCATCACTCTGTATCGTGCTGCATTGCGCTGCAAGGCGGTGCATCACGGTGCATCGTGCCACATCGCGGTGCATCGTGGTGCATTGCGCTGCATCGCGCTGCATCGCGGCACTCCCCGCAGAGGAGCAGACGGGCAAGGACGGCCGCGGCTACGTCTCCACCGCCATCAAGATGACGGTGGAGAGCGAGAGGTGGGTGCGCGACGCCGGGGCCACCGCCGGCGCCCGCCCGTCACCAACAGTGACACCGGTGCCACCTCCCGCAGGGAGCAGCCGCCCCCGGGCGCCGCCGCCGAGGCCGCCCCCGCGCAGCCCTTCGCGCTGCCGCCGCTGCAGCACGACGCCCTGCAGCCCGTGCTCTGGTGAGACGGCGCCCGCGGCGGGGGGCGCACGGGGGGCCGCCCCGTGCTCAGCCCCCCGCGCCCCCCTTGCAGCCCCCCAGCGCCCTTCTGCCCCCCGGGCGGACCCACCACCTACACCGGCGCCGAGGGCAGCCTGGGCATGATGGTGACCGAGGGGCTCCCAACGCCCTTCGCCAGGTGGGGGTCAGGCCGCACGTGGGGGGGGGTCCATGGGGGCGACCGGGGGCTCAGGGTGCTGTCCCCCCTCCCCGCAGCTCCTCGCCGATGCTGTCGCCGCCCCTGGCCATGGACCCCGCGCTGCCCCATTGCCCCGACGCCTTCGGCAACCCGCAGCTGCCCATGTAAGAGGGGGTCCGGGGGGGTGGGTGGGGAGCGGGGCGCATGCAGTGGTGCGGGTGCTGGCATGGAAGTGCATGCGTGGCGGTGCACACATGTGTGGTGGAGCGTGCGCATGCATGCAGTAGGGAACACGTGTGCGTGGTGGAGCACGTGCATGCGTGCAGCACTGCACACACGTGCGTGGTGGAGCATGCACGCGTGCAGCAGTGTATACATGTGCATGGAGTACACATGTGGCAGTGCTCAGGCATGCATGCTGGAGCATGTGCATGCATGCAGCAGTGCATACGTGTGCATGGGGGCACACATGTGCTCACACGTGCACGCTGCAGCACGCACACACACGCAGCGGTGCGCACACTGCAGCATGCACACACGCAGCAGTGCTCGCATGTGCACGCTGCAGCACATGCACATGCAGCAGTGTATACATGAGCGTGTGCACACACATGCAGCAGTGCTCACACGTGCACGCTGCAGCGCGCACACCCGTGCCAGTCCCCCCCTCGCCCAGACCGTTCCGCCCCTACAGGAGCTTCCTGCCCGGGCAGTTCCTGGCAGCCGCGGGCCCCTCTCCGGAGCCGCAGGATGAGGAGATGCCGGAGCTGGGGCTGTTCCCGCCGCTGCTGGAGCCGCCGCCGCAGGGCTCGCCGCGCTGGTGAGCACCGAGGGAGCCGCGCCGGGGGGCCGGGCGGGGGTCCCAGCTCACGCTGCCCCTCGCCCCCAGGCTGGCGCCCGCCGCGGAGCTGCCGCCCGGCGCCGACCTGGAGCAGCTGCTGCAGGAGATGCCGCTGGAGGGCTCCTCGCTGGGCCCCCCCTTCGGAGCGGCCCCTCCGCGCGGCGCCTTCCCCGGCCCCCCGTGCTGGGGGCTGCCCGAGGGGCGCTGGGACGACGGCGTCCGCCCGGGGCAGGCGTGAGCCCCCCCACGCGCTGGGGGGGGGATTTAGTGTGGGGGGGTGCCCTGCTGCCCCCCAACCCGCTCCTTGGCTGCACTTTGAGCCCCATCGTCGGGGGGGCCCGGGGGGGCGGCGGCAGGAGCGGGGAGCCTGGGACACGGGGCAGGGAGATAAGCCATAAAATAAAATTTTATTCCAAAATAACAAAATAAATAATCTACTGTACACGTTACAAAGGAAGAGTCGCTAATGCTCTAAAAAGACACCACACAGGCCAGGGAGGCCGGGGCTGGGCTCAGGGAGGGCAAGGGGAGTTTGGGGGGGCCCCACGGGGGTGCACGGGCGCCATGGCCGGGTCGAGGTGGGGGGGCCGCATGCAGGGACCCCACGTGCCCCACGTGCCCCAGGGTCACCGGCGCTGCCGCTGTGCGCGCCCAGGCGTGCGCATGGATTCGATGCGGGCGCGCGCGTGCACGGGTGCATGTGGCCGCCGCGCCGCGCGCTTGCACGAGGGGATGCGCGTGGCAGGGGTGGCAGCACGCGGCCGTGTCCGCATGCAGTGTGTACTGGGGTGCTGCAGGGGCCGGGACACGCGCATGGGGCGAGCGGCTGCACAGGAGCCCGCGCGCGGGCGTGGAGCGCCTGAGGAGCGCTGCACGGCTGGAGTGCATGGGCACGCGGAGGACCATGCAGCTGGAGTGCATGGGCACGCGGAGAGCCGCGCAGATGGACTGCATGGGCATGCAGAGGGCTGCACAGGTGGAGTGCATGGGCACGCAAGGGGCCATGCAGCTGGAGTGCATGGGCGTGCAGGGGGCTGCACGGCTGGACGGCATGGGCGCACGCACCGAGGTGTGCAGGGCCGCACATGTGTGGGGCTGAGCTGTGCACACGCGTGGGGCTGGGCTATGCACACGTGTGGGGCTGGGCACGGACGTGCCACGGGACAGGGCGCGCAGGGCCCGGCAGCGGGGAAGGAGCACGGGGCCGGGCGGCGGGTGCCCGTGGGGCTGCGCGGGGCCGGGTGGTGGGTGCCCGTGGGGGTGGCGGGCACCCTGTGGGTGGGCGCAGGGGCGGCCGCGCTGACGCCGGTGCCACCACAGGCGGGCGCCTCACGTGAACGGGGCCGGGGGGTCGGTACCGGGGCGGCGCCGGACCCCGCGCGAGTGCCGCGATTACTGCGGGCCGCGGCTGAGGTATCGGGGGGGGGCGGCGGGGGCGGGCGCAGGGCCCCCCCTGGCACCGGCCCCAGCGCCTTATTGCTTCGTTAGTGAGGGCGGCGGGGGCGTCACTGGCGGCTGCTCTCCTGCTCCACCTTGATGGCCCCGCGCGGCGGCTCCGGGGGGCCGGGGGGGCCCCGCTCGGGCAGCCCCAGCCCGTCCTCGAGGTCTGCGGGGGGAGCGGGGTCAGGGCGGGGCACGGGGCGCCCCGAGCCCCCCGTGCCCGGCCCGGCCCGCTCACC